TCAAACGGTCTATCTCCAATGCCTGAAAGAAAAAAAAAACTATCCATTTCCTAGAAGTGAAAATCAGATTTACAGATTAACAAGAAACTCATCAGCATACTTACAGACAGCCACTCGAACGGTCTCAGAATGTGAAGACCTTGTATACAATATGCCCATTCCATAACTCAAATACTTTAAATTGATGAAGAGTAGTGCTGGTGTTTAACTGCATTTACAGTGTATCATATAGCAGTTTTACTAAATGCTAGATATACAGTACTTGCATAGTTCTAATTGGACTTTTACTTACAGTGAACGAGTGGAAAACCTACGCAGCAGGGAATTCATTTTTAAAAGCTTTGGTCCTTCCTCTGCACTCAACATTTAGCTTATCAGCATATTCCCTTGCTTTGGTAAACCCATAAATCAGTAGTCTTAGAGGCAGAAGCTGTAAATAGTGACTAATGTCACTTAACCCAATTCCTCTGAGCCCAGGCTCTCATGGAACTGTCATCTGTGAGGGCATCATAATGTTGTACAGTGCTCACATGTTATTATCTGACATCATCAAATTGACCTAGGCTCACAGTACAGTGCTGAAGAAAATTAAAATGGTCTTTGGTATGTTAGCCTCACTCAATTTTTATATTAAGAACCGTACACAGCCAATACTGGAGAAGATGAGGAAATACCTTGTCATGTGACTGTGTTAAAGGCACATGGACTTTAGGTATGTATGCTGACGATTTCTTAAAATTAACTGTAGGGTTGCAGGTAGGGAAGAACTTGAAGGGGGGGGGGGGCATTAAAGAATGAATTTGGCTTTAACAAATTACCTTACAAAAATAGGCAGCAGATAGGCAGCTGAACCAATGCATTCTCTACTGTCTTCCATTAAATACTCATTGGGTAAAGGATAAATTACAAAGCCAACTAATGATTATTATTTTTGAATGCATAAAAAAATCAAGAAAACATATACAGGTGAAACTCGAATAATTAGAATATCGTGCAAAAGTTTATTTATTTCACTAATGCAAATTAAAAGGTGAAACTAATATATGAGATAGACTCATTACATGCAAAGCAAGATAGTTCAAGCCTTGATTTGTCATAATTGTGATGATTATGGCTTACAGCTCATGAAAACCCCAAATCCACAATCTCAGAAAATTAGAATATTGCATGCAATCAATAAAACAAGGATTTTACATAGAACAATATCGGACCTCTGAAAAGTATAAGCATGCATATGTACTCAGTACTTGGTTTGGGCCACTTTTGCAGCAATTACTGCCTCAATGCGGCGTGGCATGGAAGCTATCAGCCTGTGGCACTGCTGAGGTGTTATGGGATTCTCTATGGGGTTCAGGTCAGGCGAGTTTGCTGGCCAATCAAGCACAGTAATCCCACGGTCATTGAACCAGGTTTTGGTGCTTTTGGCAGTGTGGGCAGGTGCCAAGTCCTGCTGGAAAATGAAGTCAGCATCCCCATAGAGCTCGTCTGCGGAAGGAAGCATGAAGTGCTCCAAAATCTCCTGGTAGACGGCTGCGTTGACCCTGGACTTAATGAAGCACAGTGGACCAACACCAGCAGATGACATGGCTCCCCAAATCAACACAGACTGTGGAAACTTCACACTGGACTTCAAGCATCTTGCAGTGTGTGCCTCTCCATTCTTCCTCCATACTCTGGGTCCTTGGTTTCCAAATGAGATGCAAAATTTGCTCTCATCAGAAAAGAGGACTTTGGACCACTGAGCAACAGACCAGGTCTGTTTTTCTTTAGCCCAGGTAAGACGCTTCTGACGTTGTTTGTTGTTCAGGAGTGGCTTGACAAGAGGAATACGACATTTGAAGCCCATGTCCAGGATCCGTCTGTGTGTGGTGGCTCTTGATGCACTTGATGCACTGACTCCAGCCTCAGTTCACTTCTTGTGTGTCACGCCTGTTATGGATGAGGGGCCCAGATAGCAAGGATAACTTGCCACAAACTTGTGTCGTGGTTAAATTGTAATTTTGTTAACTTGCTGCACACATTCCTGGCAAGTTGTAGACTTGCAGAACACTTGCAGCACAAGTTCTGGTTGACACTTTTTGAATTTGTAGCAAATTTGCTTGGCAAGTCTACAGCAAGAGTCCTGCAGGTCTTAGCAAGAGCTCTGCAAGCTCGCTGGTTTGGAGATTTGCAATGCAGACTTGCTGTAATTGTGCAACAAAATTGTGAAGCTTGGCAAGTCTGCAAGTGTTTAGCAAGTCATTTTCAAACTTGCAGCACAATTTCTTGCTATCTGGGGGGTTGTGGATCGCAACTGCGGAGGCTTCTCAAGCAGCGAAACCCTGGTTTCACTCTCAACTTAACGGAGAGTTAGGGTTTCTAGCATCACAGCCTCAAAATAAATAATAGTTGTTTTTAGAGCGGGTTATTCCTGCATAAGCCCTACCCCTGAGCACCAGTGTCAATTTGGGAACTACTGAGTAGTAGGTGAGAGAGAGCACAAAGTCAGTACAGGCAATGGTTGGTTATAGAGATCATGAAGGCAGTACAGGCAATGGTTCAGTTTCCCAGCGAGTAGTAAGACTTTACAGGTGGAGGTGAGATAGTATACAGTCTTTATGAAGGGTGTGCAACTGCACTGAATACTTGCTGTTTGAGGGGTTGAAGTGGATGGGAGGAGCTAGGGGTCCTTTTGGAGTGCGGTCCCAGAGTGGGTGACTGGCAGGAGTAGGCTGGAGGCAATGGAGGGTCCCAGGAGACAGCAGGCATTCTGGCTCAATAGTGGAACGCCATGCTGTCTCGTCTGGGCGCTTATATAGTGCTGGAGGAGTGGGGAGGAGTCGCCGAATGGATTGGCGCACTTCCGCATTCCAAGGTGGAACGCACCCGGCCTCCGAACCCGGAAGTGACGAGCGTGCGCTCCACCGTGGAACGAAGCGGCGGATCCTAGAAGCGACTGGCTGCTGGCTCCGGGCGGCTACGGTCTACGGCGGTGGCCGTTACAGGACCCCCTCCTCAAGGGAACACCTCTGGGGTTCCCAGCTGGAGATGGCCGATTGGGTTACCTATGGTGGAAACCTCGAATTAGTTGAGGGGCATGAACGTCAGCTGAGTCCTCCCAAGAGTCATCCTGGGGTCCATAGCCCCTCCATCGTATCAAGTATTGGAGGGAAGAACCCCGCTTCCTGGAGTCAAGGATCCGCTCGACTTCGAACTCGACCTCACCCTGTATGTCAACCGGAGGAGCTGGAGTGAGGTCTCCTGTCGGGAAATGGGTTAGGCCTGAAGGGTTTAAGGAGCGAAATGTGGAACGAGGGGTGTATCTTCCAGTCCGGGGGTAGTACCAGTCGAACAGCGTTGGGATTGATCACCTTCTCGATTGGGAAGGGTCCAACGAACTGCCGGCCGAGCTTCCGTGAGGGAAGCTCTGGTGGAGAGCCACACCATGTCCCCCACATGGTACGTAGGAGGGGCTGTTCTGCGGGAATCGTAATAGCGTTTCTGTTTTCCCTGTGCTGCCTCGAGGTTGGAACGAAGAATCCCCAAGGTCTTCTGCAAAATGGAGAAGTAGTCCTCCAATGAGGGGGACATTGTTTGGCAGAAAAGAAGTGGGCAAACTGTTCGGGTGGAAGCCATAATTCGCGTAGAACGGAGAAACTTGGGTAGAAGCACTGGTAGCGTTGTTGTACGCGAATTCAGCCAGAGGCAGAAACTGGAACCAGTCATCTTGGAGATGGGTGCAATAGCATCTGAGGTACTGCTCGAGGGACTGGTTAACGCGTTCCGTTTGCCCGTTGGTCTGGGGGTGATAGGCAGTGGACATGTGATGGTCGATTTGCAGTGTCTTACAGAGGGCCTTCCAGAATCGAGAAACAAACTGGCTCCCCCTATCAGAGATGATCCGAGAAGGCAAGCCGTGTAGCTTGAGTACCTGGGCAACAAAAGCTTGTGCAGTCTCTTTGGAGGTTGGCAATTTTTTCAAGGGGGTGAAATGAGCCATCTTTGTTAGCATGTCGACTGTGACCATAATGGTGTTGGCACCATCTGACCTAGGAAGGTCGACTATGAAGTCTAGGGAGACGGCCTCCCAGGGTCTATTGGGAATAGGTAAGGAGGTAAGCAACCCGTATGGAGGTCTTCTAGAGTGTTTGCTGGTAGCGCAAGTTTCGCAGGTGACTATGTATTCATGTATGGTTTTTGCCATACCTGGCCACCAGAAGTTCCTTTTGACAAGGTCAAGAGTCTTCGATACTCCGGGATGACCCGCCAAAGGGGCAGTCATGGAGTTGCTTGACCACCAAAGGTTGCATCGTAGGAGGCTCGTAGATCTTGTCGTTGTTGAGGTATAAGCCCTCGGAGTCGCGTTTAAGGCCAGCAGGACGAGAGGATGCGTCCTGAGAGATGCTCTGTTGGAGTAGGTGCTTGAAGCTAGTGGTCGACCCTATAAATCGGTCCGCGGGAATGATGGAGAGAGGAGGATAGTCGTCGGTGTCATCTTCATTCATGCGAGATAGGGAGTCGGCTTTCACATTCTGTGGACCAGGACGGTATGAGATGTGGAAGTCGAATCTATCAAAGAAGAGGCTCCAACGGACCTGACGGGAGGACAGGGTTTTGCACGCCTTCAAGTATTGCAGATTGCGGTGATCAGTGAAGATGGTGATGGGGTGCAGGGTACTCTCCAAGAGGTGCCTCCAGTATGCGAGTAGTTCTTTTTCGCCGATGGGGTAGTTTCTCTCTGCCAGTGTGAGAGTCCTAGAGAAGAAGGCAACCGGGTGCAACGGTTCAGAAAGAGAAGGCCGTTGGGAAAGAACCGCCCCTATGGCGAGGTGGGAGGCATCTACTTCTAGTACGAAATGACAGTCAGGGTTAGGCAGTTGGAGGATTGGAGCAGAGGTGTACCTCTCTTTTAAGGCGTCGAAGGCCACTTGGGCCTCTTTTGACCAGGCAAAGGGAATCTTCGTACTTGTTAGACTCATCAATGGCTTCACGATCGCCGAGAAGTTTTTAATGAATTTTCGTTAATAGTTCGAGAAGCCAAGGAAACATTGTAGAGCCTTCCTGGAACGGGGGATCGGCCAGGTCAAGATGCAGTCAACCTTAGACTGGTCCATTTGAATCCTGTCCGGAGTGATCCTGTAGCCAAGAAAGGATATGGAGGGTTGGTCGAATATACACTTCTCCAGCTTGACATAGAGAGAATGGGCTCTGAGTCTAGACAGGACCCAGCGGACATGTTTCTTATGTTCCGCAGGGGTATTGGAATAAATAAGGATGTCGTCCAAGTACACTATGAGACATACATCCAGTAAGTCATGAAAGATGTCATTGACAAAGTGCTGGAAAGTTGCGGGAGCGTTACACAACCCGAACGGCATGACTGTGTATTCATAGAGACCGTACCGAGTTCTGAAGGCTGTCTTCCATTCGTCCCCTGTGCGTATCCTGATCAGGTTATAGGCCCCTTTGAGATCCAGTTTGGTGTAGCTTTTGGAAGTCTGTAGTTGTTCAATCAACTCAGGAATCAGAGGTAGTGGATAGCGGTTTTTCACAGTGGTGTTGTTGAGACAGCGATAATCTATTATGGGGCGTAGTGAGCCGTCCTTGTTCCTGACGAAAAACATCCCAGCGCTAGCGGGGGATGTGGATGGCCTAATGAAGCCCTTTCTCAGATTATCATCAAGGTAGGTCTAAAGGTGTGCCAGCTCTGGCTGTGACAGGGGGGTAGATTCTTCCCGTAGGGATGGGACTACCAGGAATCAACTCTATAGGGCAGTCGTAGGGGCGATGTGGAGGCAGGGTCTCAGCCCCGCGTTTGCTGAACATGTCTGCGAAGTCTAGGAGATGTGATGGGGGGACCACTGTCTCTGAACCTGTCATGAGGATAGGGAAGACGGGGTAGCACGTTTCCTTGCAATACTGGGACTGTAGGAGAAGCGTCCTTTCCGACCACAATATGGCGGGTTGGTGAAGCAGTAGCCAAGGGAGGCCAAGCACAATCGGGAACAAGGGAGATGGGATGATATCGAATACAAGGTATTCAGTATGCCCTTCTCCGCAGGTAACCAACAGAGGTTGCGTTTGAGAGGTCACTGGGCCTGAGGAGGAGGTAGACCCATCAATAAAGGTGACAGACACAGGGTTATGCTTTAGCACGCGTGGTATTTTATTGGTTTCGACAATTTGTGAATTGATGAAATTGCCGCAAGCCCCTGTGTCCACCATGGCGTCAACGGTGATCCTCTCGTGGTCCCACTGTAGGGAGAGAGGGATAAGAATATACTGGTTAGAGAGGGGTTCACCATGGTTCACCTTGCAAATATGTGAAACGTCACCTTCCGTCTTCTTTTTGAGGAGTGGACAGGTAGAGACCATGTGGTCTGGAGATGAGCAGTACAGACATAGGTTGAGGGCTCTTCTCCTCTCCTTTTTGGCCTGGGGAAGTGGCCCCCGAATGGCCCCTATTTCAATGGGCTCGTCTTTATGGGGCGATCTGGATCTCCTAGGAGGAGGTGGGCTGTAGGAGTAAGCTTGTTCCGACCTTCTTTCGTGGAGACGGCGGTCAATGGAAACGGATTGCAGAATTAGGTCATCTAGGGAGGTGGGTAGTTCCATGTGGGCGATCTCATCCTTCATTGCGTCGGAGAGACCAAGACGGAACTGGTTCCGGAGAGCGATGTTATTCCATTGGGTCTCTCTGCTCCAGCGCTTGAACTCCGAGATATAGTCCTCCACAGGTCTCCGACCCTGCTTGAGGTTTCTAATGGCGTTCTCAGCCATCAGCTGTTTGCTGGGATCCTCATAGAGGAGAGACATGGATTCCAGGAAACAATTTAAGGACCCCAACAGCTCACCTTCCTCTTCCAGGTAGGTCTCAGCCCATGCTCTAGGTTCTCCCTTTAGGTATGAAATAAGGGTAAGGATTTTTACTCGATCAGAATAATCGGTACGTGGTCGTAGCTCAAACATGAATTTACATGAACACACGAACTGGCGGTAGGCCTTCCTGTCTCCGGAAAAGGGTTCAGGGGGGCAGACCTTTGGCTCTGGACGCTCCCTGGGTGGGGCGGCGTTAGCGTTCTGATTAACGCGGATACGGAGAGTCTCGTTCTCGACTCGAAGCCCCTGCATGGAGGCCGTAAGCATTTCGCCCCTTTGGGAGAGTCCGACAAGATGTTGTGTGAGCTCCGCTGGATCCATTTAGCGAGGTTCCACTATTCTGTCACGCCTGTTATGGATTAGGGGGTTGTGGATCGCAACTGCGGAGGCTTCTCAGGCAGCGAAACCCTGGAAGCGGCTGGCTGCTGGCTCCTGGCGGCTACGGTCTACGGCGGTGGCCGTTACATTGTGAAAGTCCCCAACACTTTTGAATGGCCTTTTCCTGACAATCCTCTCCAGCCTGCGGTCATCCCTGCTGCTTGTGCACCTTTTTCTTCCACACTTTTCCCTTCCACATAACTTTCTATTAATGTGCTTTGATACAGCACTTTGGGAACATCCAACTTCGTTTGCAATTACCTTTTGATGCTTTCCTTATGGAGGGTGTCAATTATGGTTTTCTGCACAACTGTCAGGTCAGCAGTCTTTGCCATGATTGTGATTCTTACTGGACCAGACTGAGAGACCATTTAAAAGCTCAGGAACCCTTTGCAGGTGTTATGGCTTAATTAGCTGATTAGAGTGGGACACTTTGAGCCTAGAATATTGCACCTTTTCACAATATTCTAATTTTTTGAGATTGTGGATTTGGGGTTTTCATGAGCTGTAAGCCATAAATAATCATCACAATTATGACAAATCACGGCTTGAACTATCTTGCTTTGCATGTAATGAGTCTATCTCATATATTAGTTTCACCTTTTAAGTTGCATTAGTGAAATAAATGAACTTTTGCACAATATTCTAATTATTCGAGTTTCACCTGTATATACAGCTGAAGTACACAAACCAAACAAGAACACCATTTTTCACTTTCAATTACCTATTCATTATAGTGATTGCTTTTTGAACCTTGTAGCATCAGTGAATTGGGCAGAATATAAGAAACCAGCTTATTTTATTTATGAGGCTTGCATTGTATAACATGCAATGAGCACTGAGATAAAACCCCTCAGGTAAAAGATTTAGGCTTTTCATTATGGTGAATGCTTATGTTCAGGCTGGGTAACAGTAAAATATTCATGGCAATGTGTGTGCTTGCATGGATGTTCATAGTAACACTGTGGAGACTAGAGACACTCAAACTATACTGGGACTGTTTTGATTGACTGTAGAAAAAAATGTATTGATATAGAGTGGCTTAGCCTGAGTAGCTAGATTCAAGAATGCATACATCTTTGTGATGTTACTTGTTGCTCAGGTCATAGAGGAGTAAGATTTTCCTGGACTACTATTCTGTTCTACATACTGTCAAATACAAACTCTAATTGAAAATAATTATTTTTGTCTTTTGCAAAATGAATAACTGTTAAACGTCTTTAAATATAACTAATAAGCAGTTGTTGTTCTTGGGTAAGGCTATGTGTGCTTCCCTAAGCACTAATTTTAATTGGCTCCCATCAGCCTTGATTAGGGATGGGTTTAATGTTTGCCATCCAGTTCAGCTCTTAGCAAACTATGCTTGTTCGTCATTTGCCGAACAAGAGGTGACCTTATGGGCAATTCTCTCAGGTAGGAAAGGCAAACCCCATAGTGATTTGCCTGACCTGCTGTGATGATTCCCCTCGGGGCCGGGCCGCCTCGGTCCTGCTGTCTTCCATGACGGATGCTCCGCGTTCCACTGTTCCAAGCCGCTCGACTTCCTGGTTGTGACGCGAGCGGCGTGTGTTCCACGGTGGAACGCGGCGCCTCCTCCCACATCCTGGGGCTATTTAAAGCCCCAGCTGTAGCAACATGGCGTTCAACAAATGGGCTCTGAACGCCTGCTGACTACTGAACCTGAAATCACTGGACTGTGTCTCCTCAACTACAAAACCACCTGCCAGCTGGACCCACACCCTGCACCACGCTGCTCTGCCACCCCTCAAACAGCAAGTATCGCTCCACTGGGAGCCTATTACAAACTGTCAGCTGCTTAACCATACAAGATTGTGCTGCTGTTACCATTGATAACGTTGTGGGGGGATTCTATTGTTTATCGGGAGACCTGTTTAACCGTACACATCACCAAGAAGATAAGTCCACCGTTGACCCCTATACTATACCTTTGTTGGTGCTATGAGGAAATAGCCCATTGATTATTTTTGTTTAAACCTTGGCTATGATGCAAGAGTCTCAAACTCCCCCTTAAGACTGGGAGTGACGCCTGAGACTCACGCCTGAGAAGCCAACTATCCATAAACGCCATCACTCCCTCTCCGCAGTTGCGCTCCCATGCGACCGCTTACAGTAGACGTGACACCTGCGAACTCTGGTCACATGAAAAATTATAGACAATAATAGGACTTAGAAATGTGCCAGCCCCCTCCCTATAAAAGTCAGCTGTTGGTGTGCTGACATAGGGTTCCCACCAATTCTATACTAGGCCCTTTGGGTTTGGTATGGATTTTAAGTAGGAACCCAATTTAAAAAAAAATATGTCTGTCTCCCTCAAATTCCATTATCAGACTCTTTTCTGAGCATGCAGCCTGGCAGGAGGGGACAAGCATGTTACCCCCTTCATCAACCATACCAGGTTGCATGCCCTCAACATGGGGGGTACCTTGACAGGGAATAACCTCATGCCCATGTTGATGAAGGTAAGGGCTACTGGGCCAGGGTTGTGGGGGTCTATAGGAAAGGGGTTGTTTTAGAATTTGGAAGCCCATTTGAGAATAAAGGGGGCCTCCAGATGCGACCCCTTTGCATAAATCCTGCACCATTGTTTACATTAGGCTGCCAGTTAGGGAGACGGCACAGAATGACAGCTGAAAGCCAAATGTAAACAAAGGGGCAGGGTGTACACAGTGATGTTATTGATAAAAGTGGACCTGTCCATTGTCAGGTGCGGATGTGTCCATTGGTGGAAGGGTTTTTTCTTTCGACGGTCGGTGGGCATTGTTCACTGTTAGAGACAAGGATTTGCATTACTGGATGATGCAATTGCTGTTGGACTTGTCAAATATCCAGGTGTTGTTATTTAAACTTTCACTTTTTTTGTGAATGAATAGAGGTACTATGTACCCCTTACTCATTCATGTGGGGGGGGCATCTGCTTCCTGTTAGCCCTCCACCCATAGACCCCACAACACTAGGCCATGGGTGTGGGGGAAAGGCCCTTGTCCTCATCAATATGGGGATGAGTGCTTTGCCATGGGGTCCCGCAGTGAGGCACCCCTATGTTGAGGGCATGTGGTCTGGTATGTTTCAGAAGTGGGGTACATGCTTGTTCTCTCCCACACCTTTTTTTGGCTGGAATCCCCTCTACATCTACAGCAGACCCTAATCTAGGATAAGGATCTGCTATAGATAAAGGAAACCCCTTTGTTTTCAAACAGAATAAGGCAGCCAGGGTTTTGTCTTCTTTGTAAATGTCAGTTTTGCTGTAGTAGATTGTACAGATGTGCCACTTTTCAGGCAGGTTCAGTGCATCCCCACAAATTTTATTTAAAGCAATTGTGCAGTTTTAATGTTACACTTTAAGCAT